ATTTGCACCACTTGAGTCAACAAAGATGGAGATGGATTCGCAACTCTTGCCCAACTGTTGCAACAGAAAAGGGACATTCAACTGTGGGCATGATGCTTGGAGAAGTCTACAGTTGAATGTCCCTTTTCTGTTGCAACTGTGGCCATGATGCTTGGTGAAGTCCAATGCAGGACAAAGCAAACTGGTGTAACACTGGCGTCTGGGCATTAGAAAGACAAATCGAAATGCACCTACCAAGCCTGGACAAAAACAGCATCCCTTATGAAACACAACAAATACCAGACACATTGAGTATTTGACTCTCTGTTTGGTAAGCAAAACCAAAATAAAATGAGTATGATAAACTTCTAACTCATCCGTTCCCCTTCTTCTACCTTTCTTGGCGCACCACCTTTCTGCTGTTCAGGAATGCCACTGCTCACAGTGGGAGCCTTTCTTTTGTTCAAGTATCACAATGTTATTGCAACTGTGGGTGCAATCTGTAACCTCAATAAAACCAGGACTAGGAAGGGCTGCCTTTGTTTACACTGTAGACTCAGACACAAACATGTCCACATCAGACGGCTCAGGAAAAGTCTGACTCAACCACAAGTCATACGTGTAGATATGTTTACGTTAGCTTGACTGGCTAGCTGGAATCAGCATCGATTTGAGTGTGTGAGAGTTTCAGCATCTCTTCATCCCCTCTCTCTCTCTCTCTCTCTCTTTTTCCTCTCTGCCCATCCCCCCCCTTTCTTGCCCCCCTCCCACACCCAAACTCCACCCCACCCCCATCTCGATCCCCGCGGCTTCAGCCCCCCGTCCCCTCCCCTCCACCTCCCTCCGAGCCGTCCTCTTAGCCTATATACGGGTCGTCCAATCGTCTGCGCTGCGAGTCCTGCAATTCATCACGCGCGCACGTGAACACGGGCTTTCTGCAAAACCTTGTTCATTTGGCAAGCGGTCACCAAGCCATCAGCATCACAACAACTACAGCAGACAGCACTGCTACTTGCCTTGATGCAGGAGAGACCAGCTCCCTTTTTTCAAGGCTTGCCGACACTGAGCGGTGTGCTTTAAAACCCAGGTATAAACCCAACACAGCAATCCCCCTCGTCTTCTTCCCCGCTACCGCTCCGATCGCTTGACAACTGGCAGGAGAAACGAGAGAGGAAGACAAAGACTGATACAGAGGGAGAAAGGGAGCAGCGGATGGCAGCGGGGAAGGACGTGAGGCAGCGTTGTCATGAGTTTTTTTTGGGGAGGGGGGGTCGGGAATGAGAGCGGGATAGAGGGAGTGAGGGGTTGGCGGGGATAATGGGAGACTGGGAATGCTGAACGCGCTGATGGGGTGACCACAAGGGAAGCAGACAAATGCCTCAGCAGATGGGGGGAGGGTGGGAGTGCTGTGCCTCAAATTTTAACACAGCTACAGGAACAGCTGACTTTGTGGACATGTGAGGGAGGAAACTAGTTGGAGTTTACAACCAACCAAGAAGGCTGGACATGTCTACTGCACTACATGGCTTCACACATATGAAAAGTCCAATGTAGGCATATATGGTGTTATTTATTGCTGCCTTTTTGTAGCTCATGTTATCTCCCTTTTCCCATTTACCCTGTAAATATCTCGCCTTAATATATTCGCAATCAGGAAATTCTCAAAACTCAGAGTGCATTATCAGTTTTGTCAAGACTAAACAGAAGGGAAGCCTACTCATACTCATTTTCGATGTTAGTACCTCTTTTATTCTTAAGTCTTTCCATGTTGAAAACAGTCAGTCTTGAGAATGCATAAGCCAATGTATACTTGCTATCAAGTTAAAGGACTACTTAAGCTTCCAGTGCGCTTCTTCAGATCGGCTGAACAGCCTCTAAAACACAGCCGCCCCACATCTTTCTGACGCCAGATTATAGGGGATGCGTCCGACCACTTCTGTAACTTTCCAAAACCAACACTTCCACGCACTTTATGATTGGCCAAGCTGGTGAGAAAGTAGCTCTTGTTTTCCATTCGCTACACAACTATTTGTGGTGCTTTTCATGTAAATAACAGAGCGCCACAGCATAAACGTTCTCCAGAAGAATCCGTCTGAAATCATCCGCCATACCCATATGATCCCCATATTTAACTACAATGCATCTTTCTATCGAATGTGGGTTTTTTTTTCACGCACACTTCCGAGAGATCATACAATTTAGTTGAACAACACAATCCTGTTTCCTGTTGTGAGATACTGGAATGGTGGCGTTTATGGGTGGCACAGACTAAACACTCATTCGCCACTCGGGTGAACTGTGTTCAGTCCTCGCTGTGCTGCATAAGGCATGGTGGTCCAGTGAACACCACCGGCACTGGTGCCAGGCTGTTGGCAGTGGGACGCGAGGGAGAGATCATGCCCTCATTGCTTCTCTTGTGACCCCTGTTGGTTGGTAAGAGCGCCAGTGTGAAGGGGGGGAAGGGGAACCAACATTAACCTCCAAAAGCATTAGAGGAGCTACTGGCTGACAGATAAATAAGAAGCCACATACATGATGCAATTAGACATGTGGCAGTGGAAGGGCTGGGGAAATTAGAACGATGTCTTACCATGTGCCCGTTCAAATCAAAAGTGTACATTATACACATTTATGTAGTTCAAATTTACAAAGTCAAACGTGGATTTGGACTTTGACAGTCAGTTAAAGGTTTACTGACAATGTGCCTGGAGGGGGCTGGTTGAGCCGAGTTACCGTTTTTGCCATATTTAGGTGAGATGCACGTCTCCATCTGTTTCTCCACCTGCTTGGTGAGCTTTAATCACACCTTCACATGCACATGCAAAGCGCCTTGAACAACCGTTGGACATGCATCAACACTGACACGACAGTCAACACAAATTCATTTCACATATGCTTTTCTGTGCGATTGCAATGTCAGTGTGAAGGGCATATGGGATTGTTTACTTATTTATGGTTTGCACCTTCCCATAGAACAAAGAAAGAGTTAAGCTGTGGCAAAGGATTTGTAAATTTAACATTCCGGTGAAAGAATCCACCTTTTCTACAAGTGCATGACAAAAATTGTACACTCCGGTAAAACATGGCCTGGAGAACACCTTCATGCTTTGTTTACACCAGCAGGATTTTTACTGGTGTGCCTTAGACCGTTCGGTGATTAAAATGGCCATTATGGCCAGACCCCCACCCACTACCAGTGTCTGGTTGACATATGGCAGAGGAGGTAATGCAGATAAAGTCCCTTAAACAAGCCTCCTGAATACAGATAGTAATAAAGGACAATGAATAAACTAATTGAAATGCCAGCGGATGAGAATCACGAAAGGTTTGTGAAAATGAGAGCAGCTCCTTTCTTTGGGATCGACATTAACTGCAGAACAAAAGCAAAAGATCCAGCATGCTAAGGCTATGGGAAATGTGTCATGATAAAGAAAGTAATACATAATTACCATAAAACACATATAAAATTGATCAGGTTTGCACAATGTGGATTACATTTGGTTCTCCAAAAATGTGTTTACTGTGGAAAGCATGAAATTATGTGATAAGTCTGAAGTGCAACTGTGGGATCTACAGATATTAGTAAATGTCACGAGGCCACTGCACCACAGATGGAAATATTTCAATGATGAAGAGAGAGCAGAGAAGAAAATGAAACAGCTTTTTTTTTCCTATTTCCTCTTTTGTTTCCTCTCCATCTTCATAAGTAAGGCGTGCTGTGACTAGGGCCAATTCCAATTCCAACTCCAGTATCATGATAATGATGAACTGGGCTTTGATTGGTCCAAGCAGTTGATTTCGGTGTTATATGCAAATCAGGGACACAACAAAATTGGCATCACACAGCATGGTTCATCCATCTAACTCTCTCTAGGTATTTTATCTTTCCCCCCACAGAGGGAGTTGCACAGTTATTGCATTTATCACTGTGCTATTATGGTGGAAATGCAACAATCCCACATCCTCAGTACCGACGGAGTCTTCAAGAGCTGTTTTTCATAGCAGGAAAAAAAAAAAAAAGAAACTTCAAATATGTACTTCAACTTTTGAGCAGCAGCAGCAGCTACAAGAGAATTGTGCAGCATCAGTAAACAAATGTGCCTTTAGATCTTTGCAATATCGACAGTTAGGCAGGAAAAAGAAAAGACACAAGTCTCTATTCCTGGATTGCAAAGCCAGCTCTGGCAGAGGAGATACTAGTTAGTGATGGACGGTGAGGGACTTGGATGAAGCCCCAGTGCGTATAATTACTGGTTCTATTGATCCAGTGGACATGGGTTTCTAGTGGTACATGCACTGTGGAGTCACCAGCGGTTTCTCTGACTGATCAGACAATATTAGCAAAGAAAAACCGTGCTGACTAATAAGTGGAGGGTGCAACATGGCTAAATGTGTAGCATCTCAGGGCTTATCAGTTGGAAAGGCAGGTGGAAAAGTTTACTTGTGTCATGACATGAGGATATTCTAAGGAGGATATGAAGTAATCCATCCATCCATCCATTTTCTATACACCGCTTAATCCTCATTAGGGTCGCGGGGGGGGCTGGAGCCTATCCCAGCCGACTTAGGGCGAAGGCAGGGGACACCCTGGACAGGTCACCAGTCTATCACAGGGCTACACTTAGAGACAGACAACCAAGCACACTCACATTCACACCTACGGACAATTTAGAATCACCAATTAACCTCAACATGTTTTTGGACTGTGTGGGAGGAAGCCGGAGAACCCAGAGAGAACCCACGCTGCACGGGGAGAACATGCAAACTCCACGCAGAAAGATTCCGGTGCCCCCACCGGGACGCGAACCGGCAACCTTCTTGCTGCGAGGCAACAGTGCTACCAACTGCGCCACCCTGCAGCCCCATATGAAGTAATCTGACTAACTGAATGGCCAGTACTGCTTCAAAGATAAGTCTAACTATATTTAGATTAGACTGAAACCATTAGTCCTAATCAGATAGAGTGTAAAATGTCTGAGTGAGGCCACTGAACTCAATCATCCTTATATGTATCTAAAACTCATCGTGCCAGAACCTAAGATCAGGACTCACACCGGAAAATCTCAGGTTTTCTTTTGGCAGTCTTTGGAGCTACGACGGTGTTTCATAGTGCCTAGTATCAACAGGATTGTTGTAAATGCCAGGAAACCGAGAAGACAACACAACAGCGCACAACAGACATGAGAACGAGGAAATGGCACAACAAAGGTTGTCAAACAGTCTTGGACTCACAAGGCACGGCGTGACGATAGAGGTTGTCTCGGATGGTCTGCTGCAGTTCGTGGTCAGGCGACGACTTCTGGAAGCGCTGGCTCAGATAATGTTTCAGGTCCTTGTTCAGCTTGCTTCCTGTCATTGTGAACAAAAACAAAAAAAAAGGCATGATGTAAGTGCAGCAAAACAACTAAAGTGTAAAAAAAAAAAAAAGAAAAGGCAAGCACACATAAAAACATCACAGGAGCCAAAATGACAGTGTTAAGCCACAGTAAAAGCGTCAAACGACCACACCGCTTGGCTCCCACGGAAAGAAAATCCACAAGTTTATCCTGTAACAAACAGTAAAGCTAGATGCCGCGAGCGTAGCCGTGAATTGTGCACTTGCCATTGTCACTCAGAGGGGTAGCTGGCTGCAGGCTCTCTCTCCAACAGGCCAAAACTAAGACTGCTAGCACTACGGCGAACACCGCGAAGCTGCCCTCCCACCGCCACGCCATCTGGACCTCAGACACACATTAGGCTACTGAAGGGCAGCATGGCTGGAAAGTGTCCATGTGTGTGTTTGTTTCTAAATGAGTGTGTGTTTGTGTGTGTGTGTGGCCATTGCAGTGAGCGTCCACGTTACTGGCAGCGTTGTGTGTGTGTGTGCGAACGCAGCACAAACAGTGCGACAACATAACAAAAAGAGTGGGGAAGTACGCTGTCGCACAAATAGAAACATTTGATGATGCACCTAATGAATATGACAATGAGTTGATCTAAATTCCCAACAACACTGTTCCAGGCAACAGCAAACGTCTTAACACATTCTATGCTAGTGTATGTCCCATTATTTATCACACAAATGATTTATCGCTCATCTTCACGTGGCTGCTGAGACCCTTTTTGGTTGTCTTGGGCAAACAACCAGTCATAAAAGGCCCTGGATCCTGTTTCCATGGAAACTGTGTGTATGTGTGTGTGTGTGTGTGTGTGTGTGTGTGTATGGGTGCCTGTGTGTGTTTAATAAGATGATTGAGATTGTTAGCATAGTACAGAAAAGCATTCTGCATCGTTTGGCAGAATGATTGTAGGCTCATACAATAAAAATATATTTGAAGCACAATAAGTGCATCCCACAGAAATAAGACCAGCATTTGTTTTAATGTGACCTAAGATTTGGTCCGTTCTTTATATATATATTATATATATAAGCTTAAAAGCGTGAAGAAGATGTAAGAATTTATGGTCACATTGCTTTGTATCAAATCTTAATATTGTGGTGTAGAAGCCGTCTGACAATTCGAATGTCACTTGTTAACCTGTTCCTATTCCTTTGAACAGTATTGTTGTAAAATGGTCATTTCTTATAATTATTTTTATTTTATTTTTTTAAGAAAAGCTATTAAAACTTTTCTTCTAAACGGTAATTTATATTAATTAGTAATCTATTATCCAATATATCTTTCTTAGGCTTAATGTGTAAAAAAAAAAAAGAAGAAGAAGAAACGAAAGATTTTTTTCTTGTAAGGTTCACTATTACAACTTATGACAACTTTTTTTTTGAACTCTGATCCATGCCTTCAAGAGTCCATGCCATGTGCTTTTTGGGATTTCCACTTTTCTTCCATGTGTTATGAAGTGACTGGGCTTTTTAATTTTGCAGACTGTTTACTGCACCAAAGGAGTCATTCTCTGCCACAGAAAACGCTGCTCCTTACCTGCCTAAAATGCTTCGTTTGATGTCCAAATTTCTCATCTGTTACTTATTTATGTCATCATGTAAGATATTTGCATAACGCCTACCTTGAAGCTTGTTTGGAACGCCCTAAAACAAAGCATGAGCAGCTTCCTTCCAGTCTGCTTCTATGTCCTCACTAGAGAGCCTCCTGCCAGGTCTATGACTCTATCCCTGTACTTAGTGTTCTGATGCTACGGTACACAATCAGCGTACCTCACTTTTGATGGGCCAGCTGACCAATCAGATTCAGGCTTTTTGGGAGGGGGACCTTCAAGAAAAACTGGCTTCTGTAGTGTTTTTTTAAACATTAAAGCAGGAGAACATATTCTAACTGACCCCAGCAATAAAATAATAGACATGTAAATGTTTATAATATGGGCTCTTTAAAACAGAATTCTCTGAAGTAAAAAGTAACTTCAGGAGTCCTTGACCATGGCTATTTGAACGAATAAACGATGCGTTCACTTGGTCAATGGTCTGCGAGCAGAGGTTGAGTCGTTGCCCCACCGTCTAAGCTCTTCGTAGGAGGAAACACTGCTCCTGGCACCGTCCCATGCAGACATATCACTCTGTTGTAATCCTCGCAACAGGTCACAAGCCAACACTCAGGCCAACAGAGAGCCTAATACACTCCCTGATGTGCTTTGTACACAATTGCTAGAGAGCAATGGGTATTCCTTCCTGGATGAACTCAGCCTAGGTGAACTTGCCTGAAATTTTGGTTGGGTTTTGTGTCTAATATTACAAAAACTTCACCCAAAGGGACCAGAGATGAGAAGTTGAAAGCACTGCAGAAAAGAGTGTAGGTCATATGGGCAACAACAAGTACACATTCAAAAGCATTGCTTGAATATTTAGAAGTTTCTAATGTGCTTGACATTAGGGATTGACCGATTATCAGCCTGACTGATAATTCAGATCAGTATCTGGCTATTTTTATTGACCAACTATTGCAAATAAGACAAATGCACTACTTTGCCTCCGATTGCCTATTAAATTAGCTTGATCTCTGCCTGGTCACTGCAACTTTTCTTCAAAACTGATAGTTTGAATGCAGCTTCAATTGCTCAGGACAAGTCAGTAAATGGACCAATTAGGACAAACGATTTGTGTTCGTTTGTGGTACTGTTTAATACTGCTTAGCTAGATGTTTGACTGAGAATATTCTGAACATTATGAAACCACTCATAAAGTCAGTGTAACATATGATTGCATGTAAAGGAACAATGGTTTTATACCCTTCAAAATGAGCCTGAACTCAGCTGTGCAGTACTGAACTGAAGCCAGTACCACACCTACGGTCAAGATCCAAAATGCTTGATTCTACAATTCCCATGATGTTCAAAACTAAAGCATTCCCATTGGCTGATTAAAAGATGCTAAAATGTACATGTGGAATCCAAACAATAATGAAAAAGCTACAAAGCAGCCTGCAAGCTGGACAGTTTGTGAACAGGGAGACTAACTTAAGAAAGTTAGCTCAGGCTTCCTTTGCAGTTGATCAGGGGTGAGAAAGAAACGGCACCTCAAGGAGCTACTGCATGAGCTTTAATCCAGTTATGTAGATTCTGTCGTCCCCTCGGTCTGTCTTTGTGTATTCTTATCTTGATGAAACAACGATGCTTTCATAAAAATGAGCAGCCATCCTTCAAAGGCATGGCGGTATGAATAACAAGACCCTGAAGGACACTCTCAGTGATAAACGAGGCAAAGGTAATTACGTGGGGACGTGCCGATTAAGTAGATAGCGCTATCTGCCGTCCCTCTGTTTCTGGGCACTGTGACGTCAACAAGTGCTGACGTTGCATTTAGCAGCAGGTCTGTATGAAAAAAATCTGTACCAGTATGAACTATATGCTCATTATTAGGACCAACACTTGAAATTAAAAGGATGACTATTTAAACAATTCCGTCTTTAGGTCAACTATAAGGGAGAGTTATAGAAGGTCAATCTCCCCACCCTGCCACATTCTTGCTCCCCTTTTCTAAATCTCCTCTGATTCAACAAGAATGCACACTACCTTCACCAATACCCTCATTGCCCTCATGAGCAGTGGAAGATAACTGACCACTAGCTTTTCATTGGCCTGTGCTGAAGTATTGGCTGGGACCAAAGTATGCATGAGGTCTGGGAGTCAACTCTTTCTGCAGCAACCCAACTTCATATTGTGTTTCTGGTATGAGGTGAAATACCTTTCCACCACATTTCCTTTCTATTTCTCTTTTCTGTCCACTTCTTAAATCAACAACAGACTACTTTAAAACCACTCTCCTTAAGTGCTTCCACAGTATGTGGATTTTCAGTTTTTTTGGCTTCAAACAGCTTTCATTTGGGCTATAGTACAAATACAGTTGACTGTGGGATCTTAGAGATCGATATTCTGTGGCTGCTCCACTAGGAATCGCTTTCCCATCTTTTGTGCAGGAAGGTCAAGAAGATCATGACTCACCTCGCCTTAAGCCTTTAAGGCAGCTATTCAGCTCCTTAAAACCAAAGCCAAGTATGTGTTAACACCATAAGCCCATTAACTGTTACTATGTTGCCTCTGAACCATTGTGGTACCGTCTATGTGATGACAAATCAGTTTAAACATAAGCCCTTTTCAGACACAGGATACGTGCAATGGCTAGATTTGTCAATCTGTTAAGGCGACGGCATTCTGTCGTTCAGATAGAAGTTATTGTTCTTCATGGCTTCATTCAGACATACCCACCACAGTGACAGAGACGGCCACAGAAAGCAAGCAGTCATTCACGTGGGACTGGACAGTACTTTATGTGATGTACACAACATATTCCAGACAGCGGTGACGGAGCTCAAGACTCAAACTATAGATGGCTACTATTAGGGATGCACGATATATCAGCGACCACATTGGAATCGGCCGATATTAGTGGGGGTTTTTCCCCCTATATATCGATATCGGTCCGGTTAACAAATTTAGCCGATGTGAAAAACCGATGATTGTCTAACATTAGCGCCTCCGTCTCTACATTTGATATGTTTTTTTTTACTTAAATGGTCCTGGATTTGAACATTAAATATGTTAAAGGTTTTAAAAGGTTTTACTTTTGTAATGTAATAAAGAAGACTATGTGGTCTATTTGGTATGGGCTTCTTCTGAATAGTTTCACGTTTTCACAGTGCTTACTTATACTACTTTTTCGGTGTAAACAAAAATTGAATATCGACATCTGTAATATCGGTTATCGGCGATATCAGAAATCTTAATATCGGATATCGGTATCGGCCAGAAATTTTAATATTGTGCATCACTGGCTGCTATAAAACAAACTCAGAGGAAAGACTCCTACAAACAGCTGGAAGCAACCAACTATATTTCAGCTCCTGTTATTGTTTTTTTCAAAAATTAAAATACATCTATTATTGGTGAGTAACATCTATCTGAAC